ATGATCTGTTCCTGTGCTATTTGGAAGTAACTTGTATTATACAGCATGCAAGACGCTGCTGTTTCCTATAGAGGGGAAAGAACTGTTTAAAAAATACAATAAACTGGGAAATGAACATATAGGCCATCCTAGGATTGCATTTCCAGGTATAAAAAAAGAGTCTGACTAGTATACATTATTTCAGGCATCTGAAGGGAAGTGCCAAACAACAGAACAATTGAAACATTTTCTAACAAATTTTCCTGCGGATACCAGAAATTGTTTGATTAGGAGTCTGCCCAGGAAGAAGGAAAGAAAAGATATCTTCAGAAGCTGTCCCAAACGCAGACAACTCCTTCTCAATCTCTTCAAACACTGTTAATCCTTACAGCCCACAAGAGTAATGTTGCGACATTATGACTGGTTACATCGAGGGACCAACAATACAACTTGCTATAGATGAGAAGGCAATATCATAAAATTATAGAAATGGAGTTGGCAATAGGAGGTCACTTTTTTAAATTCATTCGTGGGACATAGGTGTTGCTGGCTGGCCAATATTTATTCCCCATCCCCAGCTGCCTTTGAACTGAGTGACCTGCTAGACCATTTCAGAGGGCAGTTGAGAGTCAGTCACATTGTTGTAGGTCTGGAGTCACATGTAGGCCAGACCAAGTGAGGATTGCAGTTTCCTTCTCTGAAGAAAATTAGAGAGATGTATGGGTTCTTCTGACAATTGGCAATGGTTTTGTGGGTATCAGTGGATTCTTAATTCAAGGATTTTTTAAAAAATGAATTAGCCTGTAATATATATGGTGGTTCTTTGAAAGAATAATCAGACACCCCTGCTTTTCTCCATAACCCATATGTTCCTCATCCTGAGGTACATCCCATCTTCCTTTTCAAATTATTTAAGGTTTTAGTCTCCTCCAACTTTTCAGACAGTGTTCTAGGATACAATAAATCTTTGTGGTAAACAAAATTCTCCTCATCACCCCTCCAGATCTTTCAACAATGATCAGAGGAAAACAGAATTTATAGCTTCCTGGCACCTCAGTCTTGATTGCATATATTGCTGTCTTACTCTGAAAAGTTTGAAAAATTCTCAGTGTGTTTTACACAATGCATTACTTTTCAAAAGAATGATGAGTATGTCTGGATATCTGTTACCAATTCCTTACCTATATTGTTTTATTTAAAACAATGAAATGTCAGCTTGTTCCTCCAGACAACAGAAATAAATGGATAGGAGTTTTGAGGTGGTATCAGTCGGAAGAATGTTTATCAGAGCACCAGGAAATTTCCCAAGTCATATCTCTCAAATATAACTATACAAAGTCAGCTATGGCTCAGTTGAAGGGGTACTGACATAAAGGGGTATGTGGAGAGCATGGGAATCTGGCATTAGGCCAGATGATCAGCTATGATATAAAATGGCAAAGCAGGCTCAAGGGTTGAATGATCTTCTCCAACTCCTATATTCCAAAACCTAGAAGTCATAAACATAAACGAATCATTAATAAATCTAATAAAAAGTATTCAGAAGAAACATCTACACCTAAAAAGTGGTGAGAATGTGGAATTTGCTACAATGAGAAAGAGGGAGGGAAGGTGAATTGGGTTCCTTGTTTTCAAATTCTCAAAGTATCTGCAATGAAAGTCCAAAGTTCTTTTTAACATGTGGCTATACCTTTTCCTGATGTTTCATTTCCATCAGTACTGTCACCAGATACATTTTCTTCTTAAGAGACAAAGAGTGCTCAGCCTGTGTTCAGAGCTGCATTTGTTGTTTCATCTCCTTGCTCTGCCAAAAGCAGCTCCCTGAAACACAAGCTAATTTTTATACTCTGTGTTGCTGACATTTTAAGCTTATTAATTGTAGACAGTTATACCTCCAACTGTGAATATTCTCATAAAGGTGTAAATCAAAGAAAAAAGAGGGCCATTTCACACCTACGCAGGGAGTTTTTTTTGGCTGGTTTCATATTCCTTAGGGAAAATTTTAATTTCAGCACGGATTGTCATTTGCCCAATCTGCATTGGTTTCATAAAACATGGTCAACCCGTATGGTTAGGTAATTGCTCCTGGTAATTTTAAGTCAGTGTATTTAATCTTTTTTAAAATTCAGATCATGAAAGTCTCAGGTATTAGATTAAATAGATTCAATAGAATTTGAAAATGGATAGTCCATATTTTATATTATCATGACATAATAGAAGTGATTTGCATATGTGTGTTTAAGGGGACTCTAGATAAATGCATGGGAAACAACGATATTCTAATACAGAGTTGTAGATCAGTACTGGGGTAGTTAGTCGGACGACTTTCCATAGGTTTACACAAAAATATAGCATGAAATGATCTGTTCAGGGTAGCTATTATCCTGTAAGTTGGTTTTGATGCACCTGATTTCAGCATCATGTTTGTGTGGTGGACAAATATCTCTCACTCTATTTATGAGATTGCCAAAGAAGCTAATCATATGGTGCACGGAACTGTAGGAATCCCATGTGTTTTTTGACCAATGAAGTTAGATAGGAGCAGAGCAGTACAAATGTTGGAAGCTCTCTGAGGTTGCTACCCAAGACAGGAAAAAATGATAACAGAATCAGAAGTTGCTGGAAAAGCTCAGCAGGTCTGGCAGCATCTGTGAAGAAAAAATCAGAGTTAACGTTTCGGGTCTGGTGACCCTTCCTCAGAAATCAGACAAAAGTGATGCTCCCTAACCTGTTCTTCCTCCCACCTATCCCCTCCTCCCACCTCAAGCCGCACCCCCATCTCCTACCTACTAACCTCATCCCCCCCCCTTGACCTGTCCGTCCTCCCTGGTCTGACCTATCTCCTCCCTACCTCCCCACCTACACTCACCTTTACTGGCTCCATCCCCGCCTCTTCCACCTATCTGTTTCCTCTCCACCTATCTTCTCCTCTATCCACCTTCTATCCGCCTCCCCCTCTCTCCCTATTTATTTCAGAACCCCCTTCCCCTCCCCCAATTCTGATGAAGGGTCTAGGCCCGAAACGTCAGCCTTTTTTGCTCCTATGATGCTGCTTGGCCTGCTGTGTTCATCCAGCTCTGCACCTTGTTGTCTCTCTTCCTTTACACCCCATTGTGTTGCCCATCCACATTTACTGTTGAACTGAGTAGCTCTCTAATAAAAACCAAAAGAACTGCAGATGCTGTAAATCTGCTGTAAGAAGGATGAGCAACACATGAGGGTGTAAAGGAACATCACTTTTGTCTGAGTTCTGAGGAAGGGTCATTGGACCAGAAACATTAACTCTGATGTTTTTCTTTACAGATGCTGCCAGACTTGCTGAGCTTTTCCAGCAACTTCTGTTTTTGTTGCTGAGTAGCTCTCTAGCCCATTGCAGAGGGAAGTGAAGAGTCAAACACATCACTGTGGATCTGGAATCACACAAAGATCAGTCAGATTTCTTTCATTTGCCTTAAAGAACTCATTCGTCGAAGAAAAGTCACACCGGACTCAAAACGTTAACGCTGTTTCTCTCTCCACTGATGCTGCCAGACCTGCTGACTTTCTCTAGCATTTACTGTTCTATTTTATTTCCAGACCTCCAGAAGCCGCAGCTCACTGGATTTTTTATTTGGGTGGATCGAGAGGAGACAGGGGAACGAGGGGCCGAACGTTCCCTCTCCCTGCGCTGTGGCCATCGCGCGATTCGTGGGACGGAAAGGCGAGGAGCGCAGCGCAATATTTGGCGGAGGAGTTCGGGCTGGCGATAGAGCCTCCCACCCAGCTCAGCAAAGGAGGGCCGTGGCACTAGGACCCTGCAGGCGCTGCCCTGTTCACAAACGGGAGAGTGGTTTTAGGAGAGAGAGAGAGGAAAAAAAAGTCTTGACTCACTGAGAAGGAGCAGCAAAAAGAAACAACAGGTCGGGTCTCATCCTGCTGCACACAGCCTAGCAACCATCTGAAAAGGCTCTGGCTAAACTCTCTGGGGGGGAACCTCTAGCAGACTGCCTGGAGTTGGGAGTTTGGTAGCTGCTGGTGGAGAGTGTGATAACATGGTGAAAGTTGAAACCTTTGTGTGTTCCTTCATCCTCCTGGAGCTGTGTAAGTACTTGACAAAAGTGCCTTCAAACGTTGTATGCCGCTCCTGCCTAACTTTGGCTCTCTCTGCCACCTCCCCTACCATCACCAGATCCTAACGGTTTCTCTTTGGTTGCTGTTTGGTCACCTTGAATCTGGGGAGTGAGCTGCTTTCTCATTGATTCCTCAGCAGTTTGGCAGCTCTTTGGATCTGCTTTTATTTGGGATTCGTCCCTGTTGTTGTTAATGTCCCCCCTCCCCTTGCAGCTTAGGTCTTGGGGGGAGAGGTGTTTGTAAATTATTCCTGCAGTTTTGTCCAAGAGATTCCCTACACAGGACGTGTTGGTGGAATGGAGGAAACTTTTGTTGAATTATTTGAAGCCCAGACCAGTAATCCGCGGCTGCCAAACTTTGGGGATTTAAAAGGAAGGGAAAATGAAATAGAAAATTCTGGAAACATGGTCAAGAGGATGGTTAACCCTATGTTAGAATATATGCCTGAGTTCAGACACAGAGTCTCCTCACACACAGTCAGGAGAGTGAGTGAGAGGACGATGGTGCTTGAGTTTAATACTCTTCGCCTCAAACAAGTTAATGCCGTGAGTCAATCCTAATGCAAAGGCAGGGATTGCACACCAAGCAAGGCCCCCCTCCCCCAGGTTTAATGTATCAGCAAAGGCTACAGTTTGCTGATCCCAACCAAGACAATGACTCAAGGCTAAAACAAAGAACTGCAGATGCTGAAGGTCTGAAACATGAAACAAACAGCTGGAGGAGGGAGGAACAGTAAAGTTTTGCACCTTCTGCAATTGCGTGGGAAGGTGCCGTGGGGGGTGTGAGGAGGTGTTGGAAATGGAAGAGGAGTGGACCAGGGTGTACCAGAGAAAACGGTCCCTGTAGAAGACTGACAAGGGAAGGGAGGGGAACGTGTGTCTGGTGGTGGCATCTCATCAGAGGTGGCTGAAATGGCGGCTGATGATTCTTTCAATGAGGAAACTGGAAGGGTAGAAAGTGAGGACCGCGGGGTCCCTGTTACTGTTGTGCAAAGGATGGGAAGCAAAGGTTTGAGGGCACGTGCAGGAAAATGGAAATCAGATTTGCGTTTAACAATAAAACAGAAATTTATTCTGTGAAAGAAATGAAGAATAAACCAAACTATTTACAAATTTAAAGATTTCAAAACAGATTAAAATGTAATTCCATTAATCTCAATTGCTTTCTCTTTCATATCTATAGTGGCACATTTTAACTGTGGCTTCAATTTCCTTGTCTTGTAAATCTGATAGGCTCCAGGGAGAGGCTTCATACAACTAAGCTTAGATTTTCTCTGCTTCAAGTAACTCCTTCAGAGTTGTAACCAAATACTTCTGGTTTGGAACTTTCAAAATAAACTTCTTACACTGAGGCAACTTATTTCTTAACAGTTCTAAACTACATATTCTTTTTCATGAGCTTTATATTTTCATGAGTTTTATACATTCAGATTCAGCTAAGACTTATGCAAACTGAAACTAAAAAATCTTTTTTTCCAAGCTATGATTGTTTTCCATAAGCCCAAGAAAACAATTCAGGAATCTTTTATCTGAAAGCCTAAAGCACCATGCTGTTTACCTTGTTCAATGATAAACTCTCCAAATGTAAACAAATTTGCATTAATCTTCAGAACCTGTCTCTCTCATGTTGTGTTTTTTAAAGATATCACAATGGCGTTAGAAAAACTTATAAGTTAACCAGTAAACCCCTTCAGACACTCTGAAAACCCAATGCCACTAGTTCAAAATTGAAAACACCAGAATAAATAAGATTAAAATATTTATAAATCTCATATGTATGTCACGGGTGGTACTTTAGGATCATATTGCATGAATCAGTGCTTCACAAACTTTTTCCCGCAGTGATCCCACTCTGAGGCAATTCCAGCACTTCAGAGAACAAAAATACAGAATGGCAATACATTTTCAAGTTGAGATGTTTCTGTGATTAGGAGGGAGTGTGGAGATGTTCTTCCCAAGTGCCTGCTGCCCTTGTTCTTTCAGGTGGTAGAGATCACGGGTTTCTAAAGTGATCATTATTCATGTGAGTGTTGGCTTTGAGTAATGGTAGGCTTATTAACTGTGGAGAGCATCACAGTTCAGTCTAATGATGTACTGTCCAGCAGAATCAAAACATAGTGATCAAGAGTGAGGATAGTGATCAAGAGTGAGAAGCATGGCTGAATAATCTCAACCGTAAATCCTCTTTTACTATAGCCACTTTACCAATGACTTAGACTCGGGATCTAACGGGGTACCTTCCTAGTCTGTGCTGCTCGGCTACTCACTGATGAAATTTGCCATGGTATTGGTGTTACTTTATCACAGGATTGTAAGTTTGGAAGTCCATTTAGCCTTGTGCTGGCTTATTAAAAGAGTTGTCCAGTTTTTGCTCTAGCCCTACGACTGTTTCCCTTCTAACATGTTTGATTTTCTGAAAAGTTTGGAAAGACATTTTTGTTTTTCTTAAAAACCCTGTTAGCTTGACTCTCTGTCAACCTTGGCACACGCTCAGCCAATGCTCAGCAGTAATGACATTAGTTCTGTACATGGACGGTAACACATTTTATATATGGAGCACCCCCCCCCTCCCCATATTGGCTGTAGTCCATGTTCTGCTTGCAGTCCAATGATCTTCACCCTTCTGAAAGAGAAAAAGGCCAAAAATATCTTACTCGTAAAAAATTCTTGCGGTTATACAGTGATGCATATATTACTTACATTTTGTGCATTAAATAAGAGAAGTCAATATGCTTTAAGCAGAACAATTTTAAAAGCGGTTCAGAAAAGGAGAGACCTGGTGATACTTGTACATAAAATCATTGAAAGTGTTAGGACAAACTGAGAATGTTCCTTAAAATGAACAGAATCTTGGGCATGATACATAGCTGCATAGAACAAAAATCAAGGAATTTACAGTAAATTTTTATACATCAATGTTAGGCCTCATTTGGAGTACAATTCTGAGCATCAAAGTTTGAAAAGGATGCTGAGTTCTTAGAGAGGATGTCAAGCAAAATACCAGAGGTATGGAACATCAGTTATGTGGAAAAACTAGAGATACTGAAGTTATTATCTACAGAGCAGAAATAATTAAGTAAGTAGCTTTAATAAAGGTGGGATGTTGATAGATGAAAGAATGTCTGCTGATTTTCAGGGTCAGTAACCAGATTCAGTGTGAAGGCAACAAAATAGCAAAGAAACATAGAATCCCTGCAGTGCATAAAGAGGCCATCAAATCTGCACTGATCCTCCGAAGAGCATCCCACCCAGACCCACCTCCACACCCTATCGCTGTAACATTGCATTTACCATGGCTAATCCACCTAGCCAACACACTACAAGGCAAACTCACTTAACTTGCACATCTTTGGATGGTTGGAGGAAACCAGAGCACCTGGCATAAACCCACACAGACACAGGGAGAACATGCAAACTCCACACAGACAGCCACCTGAGGGTGGAATTGAACCTGGGTCCGTGGTGCTGTGGGGCAGTGGTGCCACTAATAGAATTTATAGAACAAATTATTTACCATGGCATGTGCTGCCTGAAAGGGTAGTAGGAGTGAGTTCAGTAACGGTTTTTAAAAGGAAATTGGCTAAACCATTTTAAAAAAAGTGAAAATTGCAAGATGGGCAAGGATGATGTAGGATGATAAGCATGGGACTTGATAAATGACTCTGTCAAGGAGTTGGCATGAGGACAAAGGGATGATGGCCTCCTTTCATTCTGTAATATTCTAGGATTCTACTCCTTGCGATGTTTTAATACAACTCTCTTAAATATCTCAAAACGCAACAGCAACAACTTTCAATTGTGTTTTATATTGATTTCATTGAAGTGGAGGAACTGTTCTATGCAGTATCATACAGCTACAACAGTCATTTCCCACATGGCAGCATCCTACAAACTCCAGTGAGAGGACTGACATATTGGGGCTGTTTTTGGTATAGGTCAGGTCTCCTGTTCTTATTCCTAAATAAGTGAATGGGACCTCACTGCAATAATACAGTCACATATCTTAGAACATAAGTTTACAATGTTGGCCCTTATGAGCGCTACCTACCTACACTCATCTTTACTAGTTTCATCCCCGCCTCCATGACCTGTCCGTCTTCTCTCCTACCTATCTGCTCCTCCCACCTCACTGACCAATCCCCACCACTACCTACCTATACTCACCTTTACTAGCCTCATCCCCGCCTCCATGACCTGTCCGTCTCCTCTCCCACCTATCTGCTCCATGATCAACCTGCTATCACCGCCCCCCCTTCTCTCTATTTATTTCAGAGCCCCCTTCCCCTCCCCCATTTCTGAAGAAAGGCCCCAACTCGAAACGTCAGCTTTCCTGCTCCTCTGATCCTGTCTGGCCTGCTGTGTTCCCCCAGCTCCACACTGTGTTTATCTCTATCATGGGCATGTTGTTACAAATTAAGCCATCCTAACTTTGCAGAAGAGCAGGAGAGTGTCTTGAACTATTATTTGATCCTTCACCAATATCTCATGATAGTAATACATCATCTGGTCATTATATCATTGCTTTTTGTGGAATTTTACTGTGCTTAAGTTAGCTGTGTGATTCCTACATTGCAGAAGAGATTACATTCCAGAAATAATTCATTGTGCTCTAGAATATCGTGTCATGTGAAAAATGCAGTATTAATAGAAGCATTTATTCCTTCTAAAGAGGCGAGAGTTAATGTTTTTTCCTGTCAGCAATGCGTCATACTGGAGGTGTGGTTCACATACTATGTGCAAATTGTTATCCTTCAGATGTGGCCTTGGAGAGCAAGTGTTAGCAGAATAATAAACAACACAGGAACACACAGACACCCAGCCTGATTCTGTTTCCTCTGATGTCTTCACATGTGTAGTTGCTGGTAGAAACCTAATCTGTTTTACTTCTTCTCCATCCCAGTAGTGCTGAATCCAATTAAACATTTGACTGAAGCCAGTAAACTTAGTGCTGACATGGGGGTTGGAGGGGGTGGGAGGGGGGTGCGGGGGTAGGTGGTGTGGTGGTGGTGTCGGGGGTGGAGGGTGGTGGGGTGATGGGGAGGTGGGTAGCATGTTGCTGGAATCTCCCGGGTGCCTGTGGCTCAGTGCCACACACAGCACAAAGCTGGAAGCGGAGTAAATCAGACTCTCCTTGACTCTGGAATTCCAATCAGCTGCTCAATTGGAGGGACATGTGTCTTCACAAAGACAGATGGGAATGCAACAAGCCCCCGTTCAGTTCGCTGTCTCCCTGAGAGTTTGGAATTCCTTGGTATGGTGGAGCCTGTCTTGCCAAGTGATCTTCCTTTGCTACCTTTGTTCATAACGCTTTTTGTGTGAGAGTTTTGGGCTCGATAAAGCAAGGGAAGCCAGGGAATCTGATGGTTTTCCTGTTCATTCACAGTTCCATTAGTTATGGTAAAGCTTAGATGCAGAGTAAAGGTAGAGTCACTCAATCTGAATGAATTGCTGAAACCCTGCTGACTGGGTATGAGTGTATTCACACCATGTACTAGCCATCTCCTGGGTAGGTTGCCAAATGGGGCCTCTTTGATTCCACATTCACTTAGACTGCTCTACTGTTCCTCCTTGGTCCAACTGGCTATGCCTCAGGAGGTAGAACTCTCACCTCTGCGTCAGAGGGTTGACAATTCAGAATCCACTGTAGCAGCTTGAGAACAAACTCTGGCTTGGAGTTTCAGTGTCATAACGTGACAATGATTGCAGCTAAATCATTCAGCTTTCTGTATATCTTTCAGAACAGGTGGCCCTGTCTGCTCTCTCACAGTGGACCTGAAGAAGAGCAGAAACTTTGGTCAACATCACGAAAAGCACATCCCCTGGTTATAATCATAATAACAAAGAACAGTACAGCACAGGAACAGGCCCTTCAGTGCCGACATATGGTGCTTTTCTAAACAGAAAACCTTTTTCCTCTATACGGTCCATCTCCCTCTGTTCCCTGCCTATTCATGTATCTGTCAAGATGCATCTTAAACATTTCTATTGTATCTGCCTCCACCACTTCCT